ATAAAAGCAGCACCACTCGCTGGTATACAGTACCTACTCGCTATNTATATCCACCATCTCTGTCTCATCCATAGATACCTTCTTTTTTTATTTTTCTTTAATATTTGACTGTATACACATAGGTATGGAAACAAAAGAGCCGACACGGTTGAGCGTTACGTCGGTACGGTCAACTGTGTGAGCAGTGGAAGGTAGTTACGACGACGACGATAATGGCGTTGATCAGTAAGCGGCTTCTTTGACAAATGCCAAGGAGGTCGATTTTTCGTGTTCCCGAGAGTGTGCTTCATTGTGTTTCTTTTGTTATTATTGTCATTGCAAGTCATCATCAAATTAATAATGTCAATCGAAAAAATTCAATAAAGGGTATACGAGTACTTTTTCAAATATAGCACGAGCGTGGATGACAAAATATTTACTCAACTTCACTGACAGCCATTATGAAACGTATCCATCAGTTGCGGCTTACTATTGGGTGATGTACACAGAGTAGTTATATACACAAAAAGCATTATTTTGTATTGCTTTTGATAAAAAAAAAAAAAAAAAAAAAAAAAAAAGTAGAAACAGACAAGTGAGGTAAGACAAGCCTTATCCACTGACAAGTATGACCCATGGCTGAAAGTTTCATTTCTTCTTAATTTAAAAAGTTATTTTCGTGATAAACAGTAACGCAAGCACGAGTGGAAAAAGGTTAATATTTATTTTTCCGGTTGAGCTCACCGATCTTCTGAATCGAAAAGTCGTGACATCCACGAACAAAGCTGTGCCGTCGAATCAATTTTAATTAATTTATTTTCATTGATGCAAAATATTATCTACGGACCGAGTAATGATAGGTGCAATGGACGCACTTGAACAAACAAACAAATGACGTCTGCTCGTTTCTGTGTATACTTAAATTATCCTCCGCGCCATAAAACTCCAGATCTCCGTGAGCCCCGTAGTTTTCTATACGCGTTCCGGGGCTACGGATGCATGGTAATCAACATTGGCGCCTGTCTGGTGTGCTTCGCCCGCCACGTATACACCCTATACGTAGAGCACAATGGGACCATTCCGCGTCGTCGCGACGGTGGAAAATACGAGAGTAAAAAGAGAACCGAAGGCTGATGCGCGCGCGGGGTTTATCGATCGGTGCGACTCGATGGGCCTGCACACGAGTAAAAACCGAGTTTAAGGGATCCACGAGGTTTTTCCATGATGTACCATCGCCAAGGTGAAAAAAAATATCCTTTTTCTTTCTAAGACCAACTTGACCATACACGCACGGTGTGCACAAAAAAAAGGGTAATAGTCTTTAACTGAAGAAAAACGTCCCTGTAATACAGTTTACTGTATAACGTAACGAGCCAACTTGGTCGGCTTAACGCGTGTCTCTCCTGTGAATCCGCCTTGCGTCGTAAAAGCAAGAGTTCGCCTCGAGGTGGTGCAGCCTATATACACAGAAAAGACAAGGGAGAGAGAGAGAGAGAGAGAGAGAGAGCAGTATAAACGTTGCGTGTGTACCTATAAACCCCCTTGGTGGGGCCGCAAACTTTACTAAAGTCGGTCACTCGAGCACATCCCCGCGGCTGCAGTAGCCGAACATGTACAACTACCCCTTCGAGCTGTATACATATATATACTGTACATATGACGCGTATGGACAAGTTATCCTGCAGACCTATAAAACGAAGTTTAACGCCAAGTTTACTTTTGGTCGGGCTCTCTCATTCCCACTGTGACACCCTTCCCCTTGCACGTTGCCTTGTTTGCTCCGACCATCCCTTCGTGTACGTTGAGTCATCGTGTGGCAACCGTGGTATTTAGGAAAAAAAAAAAATCCATTTTAACGAGACACGATGCTCCGTCGATGTGTAATAAGTTGGATGTACGTATCGGGTGCTTGTTACTTTGCCCGACAATTGGATCGAACGCGGTACTATTTGTCAATGTCAAATTTTTCTTGTTTCCACGTACATCCATGAAAATCAGACCGTTACATCACGTTGACGTTTGATGGCGAGGAGCGCATCGGTAAAACAACCGGATTCTATTTTCAACGCGAAAGCGAGCGCATCGATTTTTCATCCAAGCCCTCGTTCCCTTTGTCTCTCGGAGGAAACGAACGAAAACTCGGAGCCGATGGGAACGGCTCCAGCATAGGGATGGATCGAAGGAGATGAGATATGGGCATACAACAGTACAACAGGGAGGAGAGGCAGCTGTATGTATCGTATACGTGCTTTAGGACGACAAGGGAAAAAAGTTCCAGCCAGCAGTGGAGATGGCACTGGTTTTTTTAGCTCAAGACTCTCAAGAGATGGCCCTTTGCGTAAATTCGTTATTTAAACTCGGTCGCGCGCGCTTACGCAATCGGACGGATTTTCTCAAAAGTATATTTGACTGTGCTCGGTAGCTGCCGAGGGGGATGAAAGCCGGAGGGGCATAACAGAGCTCCGACGTTCTTTGACCTTTTCTCCATACTCCGAGTGTGTATGATTTGACTTGAAGGCTACCTGACGTGGTCGCCTTTTTTATAATCATTCCTCTGCTTTTGCTCTCGAGTTATGTACCGTACCATTTTGGGTGCGGCTCTATACGCGCTCTACCTAGTTCGTGTGCCATTTTTTTTTTTTTTTTTTTAATTTCTTGTTTTCTTATATGATTGTCTCAGTCCCGGCTATCTCGTTTCCTTATGTATACTCTCGTCCTACAGTTCACCGCGCTTGCTTTCAACTTTACGGAATTTTTTAGGGACACTTTACTGCCGAAATAACAATCTGACAACGGGTTTGTTTTTTGTGGGTGACAAATGTTTCGACTATAGTGATTTTAATGAGTTGTTACAGCCATTGATTTTATTATTTGTCCGAAACTGCATTCTGACAACATCACTTCTAAAAACAAATCCTTCTTCAAGTTAAGAACCTCGTACATTTATTTTCATGACAAGATAATGATAAAAAAAAAAAACTGTTTGCCAATCAGGTTTAAACACGTTAAGTAGGGGATGATCAACAATAATCCGAACTGATCTCTGATATCACTCACGCAAAACGTCCCTTGTACGTACAGCTTCATGGATACTGTACAGGCTGGGAAAGCTAAAAGTGCTCGTTGCGCAACTTATACGTGATGGGTACACGCATACTCGGGCAAAGTGCACGTGTACTCTCGTTGCAAAATGCACTCGCGCGTGGAAGGGTTGTTCAACAAAAGAGCGGCTCTCCTGTGCGTGTAACATGTATTACGTATCATATGGGCGCGTATATACGTATACCTCTATACGTCATCGGTATGCCTCCAAGTATACCCATGTGTGATCCCGCAGTCTGGCTCCTTTTAATTGGATCTCGTCTCATTCTGCTCTAAACGGGTGATTTGATATTGTCGTACGCGGCAGGCCTATGATCTGTACCTATGCATGATGATGATGGTTGTAGCGTGTACGTGTCATGGTATAGGTGAAGGTGGGTGTACATGTGTGCGTATATATATATATATATATATATATAGTTCATTGCGATGAATCGGGACCCCGACGGAAGTTCGCACGTATGTAACGCGAAACGAGACACAATCAGGCTCAATGTCGCGCTCTCCGGTATGTTGTACTCGGACTTGGGTACGAGTACTCGTTTGATTTTTTTGTGTCATATACTTTTTTGATGAAAATACAATCAATTTTTTCTTTTCCAACGCGACTACTTGCAACAATGTACTTGATGAAATTTTCTAGCAAAAATAATTGATTAAAATTCAAAAATTAAAAAAAAATTAAAAAAAAAACAATTTGGGGATAAAATAGTTAAAATATTTGAAAAAGTATTTAAATATTTTACTTCAAGTATTTCACACCAAGCTTTACAATTCAAAATTCTTTTAGTGGAGAAAAGTGCATTTTTTTAAAGATTAAATTTGTTTTTCTTTTGGATATGTACTATCCACATACACGCGTACGTTACCCCGTTTTTTTCGAGGTGCACAATTTTTATGGTGTTTGACTCACTGATGTAAGCTGATACCATCAAACGCACAATACTACTGTGCAATCACTACATCGCTTTTACAAAAATTCTGGGTCGATTAGTTGTATGGCTGTTGGTTGCGTGCCGTTTTAGACTCGTGAGCACACGAGTAAATTAATCAACTTTTTGACGGCTTTTATTACGTCAGGTATATATGAATTTATTTATAATACAATTAAAGCATCATAAGTAGATGTCTACATCATTTTAGAAAGCACACACGTGCCGAAATTTAATAAGGGGGTAAAAAGAGACGAACTTTTTTCTCACGATATGGGTGTAGTTTTGGCGAACGAGACATGTGAATTATCAATATTGGCAGTGCTCCCGCAGGGACTTTTTACCTTCGATATGTATCCTGTTCGAAATTCGATATTTCAAAGGAGGGAAAATCTTCTTATTAAATTCGCGGCAATATCTTCAAGTTCAGGAACCAAGAGAACCTGCGATTTTATTGCATTTTCAGAAACGACAGAGAAGAGAAAGACATTTTTCCAAGAGAACAATTTTTTTTTCTCATTTGTGAGAATTTGTAATTCAGAAACTACAAGCGTTGATGAATATATATGCGTGTATATATACCAACAAAGTGAATTGTCACTCTACCCACTTGTAACTTCAAAACCTTCATTTAACGAAAAAAACAAAACACTGACAACTGGGTGAATTTTTTTTTAATCTAAATCTTATTTATTTATTTATGGATACTTCCTTTCTGTATAAGCCTTGGACTCATTTAACGATAAAAAAAAAAACTATAAAACAAAACCACAATGACACTCAATGCGATGTAACTTCACACAACCCAATCAATCCCTACAACACAGATACATTATTCATTAAGTTTAATTTATTTTTAATTATGTTTAATACTGTTGTTTTTTATGACTACAATTATCATTATTATTATTATTATGTTAATACAATCACAATTTTTATGTTAATTTTTTTTTATCATCATGTCTCCCGTTTCACACGTTTTTACAGTATGGCCGATCAGATTCGTATCGAGTTGCGACATTGCCCAACATTCGCGACGACAACAAAACGGCAGATGGAATGTACAAGGTATACACATGCACAAACGAAATTCAGAACAGGTGACGTGCACGAGGAGAGCCACGAGGAAAGGAGGATCGCCTCCACTGGTTCCCTCGATCCTCGATCTTCTTCTGTTTTCTCTTTGATTCTCTTATTGCTCTGTTTTTCATATGTCTTACCTACTACTTCTTACGCTGTAAACATACAAACTTCTTTGGTACGCTTTGCGTAATGGATAACATAATTGTAGGTTTTCTTCTACACTTGTAACATCTTTTCTCACTCTGAATCGCATGAGGGTGCAATGTAACCTCCTTTACTTGAACCGACCTTTTGGTCAACTCGGAAAAATAATCTTCCTGTCGTGAATAGTTTTTTTTTTTTTTTTCTTTTCGAAAACTAAAAACTTTTTTCATGGATTTGTAAATGCTTGGAGAACTGTTGAGAATATGATACGTTTTCGGACGCGAATTGCCGGGACAGTTGTCATTTCACAAATGGAATAAAATTCTTTTACCGCCAGGAAGGTCATTTTTCCGTGCTAACAAAAATCTCTCTATTATTCCGTTCGAGCTATTCTCTCCTTAATTAAATTTCATCCCCATGCCTCCCCTTTTATTCCTAATAATTCAACCGGCCTCTCGTTTATTTGCTTTAGACGGCTAACAATGCCTCGAAAATTACCTCGTCATGAAATGTATAAAATTTTCCTTCGCAAGCGCGTCATATCTCCTTAAAAAAAATATCCTCAATCCTCGAGCATTTTGACATTCACAACCCATCAATCTCACCCCATGCCAATCTGTCCGTCTTTAATCTGACAGCCCCTCTCTTGGTTCCTTTCACCTTTGCCGCCTGTACATTTGCGAAAAACAACCCGCGTTTCGCGTCCCGCCACCCCTTCCCTCCCTTTTTTTATTTGACTGAGAGAAAAAAGCAGCTCGGGTGTGTGTTTTTCAGCTCGCGGCCATTTGTGTGCCCCTACTTTGTGCGAGAGTCGTCTGGATGGGGATTACGCGAGTATGCATAAAAGCGGTGTATCGCAATAACCGAGCGGCGTACGAGAATTTCACCCTTTTTTTTATTTTCATTTTTCTTAACTGTCTGTTTGTTTTTGTAGAATTTAAAATAAATTTAACAAACCAACATACTGTCAAGAGTGACTCTTCAACTGCTTGGTCATTAAAATAAACGGCTTCGGTAACAGATACTAACGTACCACGTGAGGTTTTCGAGGGATTTTCTGATTTAACAAAAAAGTTACTAAACAATAACAAACACTTACCACGCAAAAGAAAAGTTTTCAAAGCAAGCTTGGGGTGTATCCTCTAAAATCTGTTATCTCTTCTCTTCTACGTTTTCTCCTCCATCTCTCCTGCGGTTGTGCCTTAGTCTGGTTATCTTCCTCCTTTCGTCGTCTCAGCAAAAAAAAAGTTCAACGTTGGATCAACGAGCGAGGGCTTCTCCACTTATGTATCCACTCTTTTTTTCACTCATGCTTTTTTTATTTTTATTTTTTATTTTTTATTTTTTTTTTCGCAAGCGCTACATTTTATAAGCGCTTTTTGTATACAACTTCTCATGTATGTAGGTATCTTTGGATTTGTAATCACTCATACATGTATCATAATACACACAAACACGAGCTTCATAAAAATGCGCTTATACACACTTTTTTCACGCGCATTTCAAGTATATGATGTACTGTATTATTTTCTCGTTTGGTTATAAAAATGGTGCTGGCTGCGAGGTAGTTTTGCGTTTGATTTTACATGCTAAACTCTAGATTCTTGTAACATGCATTTTTTTTTTATAACCATTATATTTGCATAGACCGTAAGACTATTATTACATTAACATTTTCGAAAATTTGAAAAAGAAAAGCAAAAAAAACCGATCGAACAGAACGGGCGAGTATGTATCTTTCTCCGAGCGCCACGAGTCGAGGACTGACGCCGGGGTTATTATTGCTAACGAACGAACGAAAGCCATTCGTATTCGACTCGTTCTAATTAAAGGGTTAACGGGGCTAATTTATCAACCGGCCGTTCGCGTCGCACACTACAAATATAGTCTCGCTACAGACGGAGCAGCATACGCTTGTTGGTACACGGAATACGGACTATTGCTCGCGACCGATTGTACGAAGAAGCTTCTCGTTTTCTTTTCTTTTTCCATTGCTCAATTAATGCAATCCACGGGTACATGTCTTCGCGTCTCCTCGTTTCTTTTCGTTTATCGACGGGGAAAAAAGTGTCTGTACTGTCGTTGGGATGACTACGCCACTTGCCGGTTTTTTTTTTTTTTTTTTTCAAGTGGCTGTAGCTTTTCGTAAAAAAATAATCGTAACAATTAAACGTTTACAGGTCGCTCCATGACAAGAACATAATATTTAATGTGCAACGGTGTAAGCTCTCGAAAGCTCCCCGCGGTCGCGAACTTTTTTGTCTAGGTATATAATTATACCTAACAAGTATCGGTATGAAAAAAAAAAAAAAAAAAAAAAAACACAACAGTTATAGTAATAATGTAATATTTTGTGATGTTGAAAATTATTGCAGTCGCGGCGGAAGGGCCCCGTAAAGAAAAGAGGGGGAAATCTTGATGACCTCAAGCAGGAGCTGGTCATCGATTTTCACAAGATCTCCCCGGAGGAGCTGTACCAGAGATTTCAAACACACCCCGAGAACGTACGTATATATATACATATATATCATTAAATGAGCACATTGATATTGATGGTAATCATGTAAACACCGTGATTATTGCAAAACAGGGCCTTAGCCATGCGAAGGCGAAGGAGAACCTGGAGCGCGACGGCCCGAACGCCCTGACGCCGCCAAAGACGACGCCCGAGTGGGTAAAGTTCTGTAAGAACTTGTTCGGAGGTTTCGCCTTGCTGCTGTGGATCGGGGCGATCCTTTGTTTCATCGCTTACTCGATCCAGGCGACGACGAGCGATGAGCCGAACGACGACAACTTGTACCTCGGCCTCGTGTTGGCCGCCGTCGTCATCGTCACCGGCATCTTCTCGTACTACCAGGAGAGCAAGTCCAGCAAAATCATGGAGTCGTTCAAGAACATGGTGCCCCAGTTCGCCACCGTGATCCGCGAGGGTGAGAAGGTCACCGTCAAGGCCGAGGAGCTCGTCCTCGGCGACGTCGTCGAGGTCAAGTTCGGCGACCGGATCCCCGCCGATCTCCGGATCATCGAGTCCCGGGGCTTCAAGGTGCTCCTCCTCTCTTTTGCTCACCCCTTTACGCCAATCCATACAGTAACTTTGCGAGAAAAATTAAGTCCCTTTACCATCTACCCGGGAACATACTTTTACTTCATATCCGGTTCAAGTACACTTGTACGTGACATATTGAAGATCGTTTACAGTACTGTAATTTTTTATAAGTTGTACCTACTATTACTTTTTCTGGCGCTTTCCTTAAAAAAATACACCATGTTTTCTCTCTACTGATTTCCAAAAGGTTTAAATTGGTAAATGAAAAATAATCGCGTTGAAAAAGGATACGAGAAAAGCGTTTTAATATTTTCTCTCTTGAATCAAAAAATATTACGTTTCACGCTCGTACTTATATGGAAAAAAAAAAAAAAGAAAAAAATTGTAAAACGTGATGTGAATGGCGAAAAAAAAAAAAACAGGTGGACAACAGCTCCCTGACGGGCGAGTCCGAGCCCCAGTCGAGGTCACCCGAGTTCACGAACGAGAATCCCCTCGAGTCGAAGAATCTAGCGTTCTTCTCGACGAACGCCGTCGAGGGCACGGCCAAGGGCGTGGTCATCTGCTGTGGCGACCAAACGGCCATGGGTAGGATCGCCGGACTGGCCTCGGGCCTCGACACCGGCGAGACCCCCATCGCCAAGGAGATCCACCACTTTATCCACCTGATCACTGGCGTGGCCGTCTTCCTCGGCGTCACCTTCTTCATCATCGCCTTCATCCTCGGCTACCACTGGCTCGACGCCGTCATCTTCCTCATCGGCATCATTGTCGCCAACGTGCCCGAGGGCCTGCTCGCCACCGTCACCGTCTGCCTCACCCTCACGGCCAAACGCATGGCCTCGAAGAATTGCCTGGTCAAGAACCTCGAGGCTGTCGAGACCCTCGGCTCGACTTCGACCATCTGCTCGGACAAAACGGGCACCCTCACCCAGAACCGGATGACCGTCGCGCACATGTGGTTCGACAACCAGATCATCGAGGCCGACACCACGGAGGACCAGTCGGGCGTCCAGTACGACCGCACCTCGCCGGGCTTCAAGGCCCTCGCCAAGATCGCGACCCTCTGCAACCGCGCCGAGTTCAAGGCTGGCCAGGATGGCTTGCCGATCCTCAAGCGCGAGGTTGCCGGCGACGCCTCCGAGGCTGCTCTCCTCAAGTGCATGGAGCTCGCCCTGGGCGACGTCATGGGTATTCGCAAGCGCAACAAGAAGGTCTGCGAGGTTCCCTTCAACTCGACCAACAAGTACCAGGTATGCATTCGCCTCTAATTGTGTTCAATCAAAATACATATAACAGCTGTTCTGGTAATGATATCGTTGTCGTGCGTTTACAGGTCTCGATCCATGAATCCGATGACCCGAACGACCCGCGCCACCAGCTGGTGATGAAGGGAGCACCCGAGCGCATCCTCGACCGTTGCTCGACCATATTCATCGGTGGCAAGGAAAAGGTCCTGGACGAGGAGATGAAGGAGGCATTCAACAATGCTTACCTCGAGCTCGGTGGCCTTGGTGAGCGCGTGCTCGGCTTCTGCGACTACCTTCTGCCAACCGACAAGTTCCCGACCGGCTTCAAGTTCAACTCTGACGACCCGAACTTCCCTTGCGAAAATTTGCGCTTCGTCGGCCTCATGTCGATGATCGATCCGCCCCGCGCGGCTGTGCCCGACGCCGTGGCCAAGTGCCGCTCGGCTGGTATTAAGGTCATCATGGTAACCGGTGACCATCCGATCACTGCCAAAGCCATTGCCAAATCCGTCGGCATCATCTCCGAAGGTAGATTGGTCTTTATTTTTCTCGGTTGTGATCAATCAATTAATCGATGGATCGCTCGACACATCACGCAGGTAACGAAACCATCGAGGACATTGCCCAGAGGCTGAACATTCCCGTGTCCGACGTCAATCCTCGGGAGGCCAAGGCCGCCGTCATTCACGGCACCGAGCTCCGAGAACTTGACTCCGACCAGCTGGACGATATTCTCAGGTACCACACCGAAATTGTGTTCGCGCGTACCTCGCCCCAGCAGAAACTCATCATCGTCGAGGGTTGCCAGAGGCAGGGTGCCATTGTCGCCGTAACTGGTAAGACGTGTTTTTTTTTGTTTTTTGTTTTTTTTTTTTTCATCCCTATAATTGAGTTAATTTGGTTATACATTTCCTCTGGTATTGACCATAAATGAATACTTATCCAGGCGACGGTGTCAACGATTCGCCGGCCCTGAAGAAGGCAGACATTGGCGTCGCCATGGGTATCGCCGGCTCGGACGTATCCAAGCAGGCGGCCGACATGATTCTCCTGGACGACAACTTCGCCTCCATCGTGACGGGCGTCGAGGAGGGCCGCCTGATCTTCGACAACCTGAAAAAGTCCATCGCCTACACCCTCACCTCCAACATACCTGAGATCTCGCCTTTCTTGGCCTTCATCCTCTGCGACATTCCCCTACCCCTCGGCACCGTCACCATTCTCTGCATCGACTTGGGAACTGACATGGTAAGTCGACCTTCGATTTCCATTCCGTACTATCTCTCTATTATACGTATCACACATAAGTACTATTTACTGTTACTCTTTTATTATTCTATTGCTCTGTCTATATACATAGCATCGATGAGATTGATCAATAAACGTGTACCCAATGTTAGCAGGAGAAAAGTTGATCACGGAACGAAAAAGAATTATTATCCTTCGACGTTGATTTTGACCTTCGGACGACTAAAACATATGATTATTTGATAGGACGAGGATTTTATACATTTAATGTGTTATGCACAATCATTAACACCAAGTCTCTCTCTCGCCCTGCTATACCCAGATCGTACCTTGTACTTTGTCGTTGTTGTAATTGATGTATTTTTGTAAATGTGTCGCAACGCCATGGAACGAGATGAAAAAAAACAAAAACAAAAAAAAAGAATATATTTCACTTGTGCTCCAAGAGCCACGCTGTATATACATGTTAAAGCAAGCTGTGATTGTGACCACCAGGTGCCGGCCATCTCGCTGGCGTACGAGCAAGCCGAGTCGGACATTATGAAGAGGAGACCACGAAACCCCGAAACTGACAAACTTGTTAACGAAAGGTTTCTTTTTGTCTCATCTAGCTATTATTGGCTTCTTTTTTCCTTTTGTCTTATCGAGCATACACAAGTATACGTATCTACGATCCAGTAGACAGTCGCCAGCACCTCCCGTTCTCCAACTTGGAACACCCTTTTTTTCGTCTCTCACGCCCTTTTTTTATACTATTATACTTATTATCCACACATTAAATATTATTATTATTATTACATCTCGTATTGCTACAGATTATTATATTTATGTACTGATAATGCGCTTTTTTCCATCAAGTCTGCCGCAAATATATTAACTATTTATTATACTACATGTAAGCTATATCCTATTACGTAAGCTCCGCAGTATCAGCGTATTCGCTATAGCTTAATACAGATGATTGGACAGTAGCTGAGCAACAAGGTTGATATCGACGAAAATTTTTTCCTATTTTTCGTACGCTACTTAAGCTTTTTCCAAGTTTTTTTTTTTTTTCTTAGTAACTTTTTTAAGCTCGCCAACGAGACTTCACTGCGTGGGGCCGTATACGACGAATTCATCAGAAAAGACTGATTTNTATTGATCTGTCTTGATTTAAAGTCGCTGAGTACATCATAGTTGATTATTCTAATTACTTTTAATACTATTTTTATCGTGTCTAGCTAGAAAATTTTTTTATGTACCTATATAGAATAGTTGATATCTATATTTAATGTTATCCTAGTTAATTTATATACTTATAGTAGCTAATTTATATTTAGTATATTTCTATTTATATACATCAATTTTTTCTATTTACTTCATTTCTTGTACTGATTACTTACAACTAAACTATAAGGTTAATATTTGTGTGCTCAGGGCGTGTTTATGTGATTCATATATTGTTGCTTGAATGTTTAAGAAATTGATAAATACGTCACAAGAATTACATTTTCGTCCCGTAGCTTGAGAGAGTGTTTAAAAAATGTGATTGTCTTCACACCTTTACCAGATTTTTTTTTTTTTTTTTTTGTTAGCTATCAAACCCGTGTCCCGGGACAGTTTATCGAATCATACAATATTCCTATCCAGAAGAAGGTCTAAAGAATTATAGAAATAATTAATTCAAACGATCAAGTGTAAAAATTAATCATACTCATCGATTTCATGTTCTGTTTTCTCAATCACTTTCTTACTTTATTCTAATTCTTTGTTTTTATTGTTCACGATATAATTNAAACATGTTGGTGCTCCATAAAAATACTAATAAAGGGCTTTTTTCCATTTATGCCAATTATACTTTGATGTGCGGACTTTGTTCCCATGTCCATTTTTTGTTTCTTTCTCTTTTCTTCTTGATCTATTGTCTCTCGATGTAATTTAGTGAGTTTGCGTGTGTGGTTTTGCATAGTGGAAATTTTTTATTCGTAATCATTAAAATAACTATTATTGTGATCACTCATAATTATTATGTACTATTGATCTGTCTTGATTTAAAGTCGCTGAGTACATCATAGTTGATTATTCTAATTACTTTTAATACTATTTTTATCGTGTCTAGCTAGAAAATTTTTTTATGTACCTATATAGAATAGTTGATATCTATATTTAATGTTATCCTAGTTAATTTATATACTTATAGTAGCTAATTTATATTTAGTATATTTCTATTTATATACATCAATTTTTTCTATTTACTTCATTTCTTGTACTGATTACTTACAACTGGTACATCCCTTCGAGGTACATACATCTGACTAACAGTGAATTTTGGTCTTACTGGCAAAAGCTAGGAACAACAGATAAGAAAATATGAACAATCAAGTAATACACAATTATTGTTGTAGTCCTTTGTCTGCAACACAAATACAAAAAAATGTATGTAATATCCAATACCAAATAATTGACTTACTCTATCAGCGTCTTATTACTTAAATTATCCTCAACATCTTGAGTTCGTTTGGTTTAATGAACCTTTAAATCCTCATTACTCTCACGAATGATTAAAAATCATTTCCTAGTAATCTCAGTGCATATGACGAGAAAACTTAAAGGTGTATTAAATTAGACGAATTATAAATTAAATGAAGAAGAATTAGTTTTTACCTTCAGACAAACTGCTATCACAACAACAAAAATTCACAAATAATTTGCAATGTCCATAAAAAGATGATGTTACATTAATAATGATGTCATAAAAAAAAAATTTTAATTATTCCCATATTGTGTTTATTTTCATGAAAAATTTTTTTTTCTGTAACTCAAGCTTATTTTAAATAACGTAAGCAACCGTTTTCGCGAGTTTTCACAATTTTTCTGCTAACTCAACTATTAAATATTTCCTTATTCGCAAATTCGACATAATCTTTTTCTTGACATAGTAGATTTTTGTTATCATGCTAGCAGGTTAACTGAGACTCAGGTTATTAGTCAGCTGATTCTCCTACAGTTATTGGATTCCAAGAGATAGAAAAAAATATCGAAACAAAATAAATTTTTTTTTCTTCACGGATCATCTGAGAAACAAATAAAATAATAAAGAGTGAGAGATTTATGTTACACTATGCGTAATGTTACATTAGTTGCATCGATTTTTGCAACTTTATTTTTAATATTGGTTATAAAATGTTACTTATTTTGATAAATACATTCATTTTTTACAATACATTATTTAAACAACACAATGATTTCATTTATACGGGTGATAGCATGGTTTTTTTTTTTTTTTTTTTTTTTTTTTTTTACTGAAGGTTATCTTAAGATTTTTTTGCCCTTTTTTTTCTTCTTATCGCTACTCGGTACATTTTTCCCTTCATTTAAATTAAATGCGGAAAAACCTTTACATCATTTATCATTGCGGCCAAAAGGTAAGTCGATGGACTCATATGTTATGTTTATTTTTATATCGTTAGCCAAGCTTTACATCTCTCTTTTGTCTATTATTTATAAAAATACGTGCCTAACTCTTCTGTTTTTATATTATTTTTCTTGTCTCTTTTCTGCAGTGCAGTTATCTATTTTCCGTACACCTTATTCTCCGATCATGCTAAAGTCATAGTATTGCCTCGAGACCATGTTTTTTCTTTCACTGTTAATTTTTTCAATATTCCGCTCAAATTATCACTTATCATCGAAAAACACTAAAAGAAAAAAATAATTAAAATATCGAGTTTGCTTTTTCAACCTTACAAATTTCTCTCTTTTTAACGTTTACTTTCCATCCTAGTCATACAAATTTATTTATCTTTGATTGTCTCCTCGTATTTCTTCTTCTACCATCGCATCAATTATTTCTTCAACTACTTATGTGCGAATCTATACCTGTACATGCTGATTTTTCTTTCACACCCTTTTTCTCTTCTATTTATATTATTACCATAATAGATTGCATTGATAAAAGAAGCTCGTGCAGCCGCAATACTTATTTGTACACTATTCTTGCATTTTACGAATTCTATTCTTGCACTTGACTTATATAATATGCATTTAATCACCTATTACGATCAGTTAGCGAACATAATATTATATTCCAATAATAAATTTACAATAAAAAAATATTTAAATTCAATTTTGGTAATAAGCTTTATTTCGATTTCCTTTACCACTCACTTCGATAAATACATATATTTTCTCTCTTTCATATCATGGTTATTATGATTACTCACGTTACATGTCTATTGAAGCATTTTGTTTATTTCTCACATTTTTTATATTCTTCACTACTTATAATCCAAGCCTCACCTCTTCACGCTACCTGCAAAACAATGGAAAAATTTTTTAAAAAATAATTATAAAACACATCGTCGTATGTCTGTGTCTCGCTCACCATATAGTCACAATTTATTATTATTATAAATTTATAGATAAATATAATTACCGCGTTTTATAAGTATGTAACGTTCATGTGTATTGATATTTGTTGTCCATAGGTTGAGTTGTATGAATCTTTGTTAACTCGTTATTTACTTTACAAAAGCAGTATCTTTTTTTTTATTTTTGTCAAAAGGTAGATACTGTTAATTAACAATTTTTCAGGACAAATTAAGTACCGAAATCGAGCGACAAAAAGATAAATACCGACACTGAAGAAAAGAAAATCAAAAATAGGACGTAAATAAACGAGGTCGTTATGCACACAAATTTATGTATTCATCCTTAAGTGATAAATTATTGAATTATGCAATATGAGCGGAACGTTCAGCTGTACAAACATGTTGGTGCTCCATAAAAATACTAATAAAGGGCTTTTTTCCATTTATGCCAATTATACTTTGATGTGCGGACTTTGTTCCCATGTCCATTTTTTGTTTCTTTCTCTTTTCTTCTTGATCTATTGTCTCTCGATGTAATTTAGTGAGTTTGCGTGTGTGGTTTTGCATAGTGGAAATTTTTTATTCGTAATCATTAAAATAACTATTATTGTGATCACTCATAATTATTATGTACTATTGATCTGTCTTGATTTAAAGTCGCTGAGTACATCATAGTTGATTATTCTAATTACTTTTAATACTATTTTTATCGTGTCTAGCTAGAAAATTTTTTTATGTACCTATATAGAATAGTTGATATCTATATTTAATGTTATCCTAGTTAATTTATATACAATAATAATAATAATAATAAAAAAGATTGACTGTGCGAATAATATGCTGATATTTCTACGAAGAAAACCAAACTAACGAAAATTGCTTGACGTTGTTAAGCAAATAGTTTTTGATATAATTGCCATGAATCATCATATTTTCGCAGTCACTCACATAATTAATTTTGAAACGATGAAAAACGTGACTTTAAACAATGAAATAATAATACTCCTGATTTTTTTTTCTCCCAAATGATCATCTTGCCGTTATAAATTGAGCTTCTTGATAATGTGACATTAGGTGCCGGCCATCTCGCTAGCCTACGAGGAAGCAGAGAGCGATATTATGAAGCGTCAACCACGAAACCCCCAAACTGACAAGCTAGTTAACGAAAGGTAACACGATGCCACAATCAACAAACGCGAATCGTTTTCATGATACATATATATTTATATAAAATTCAA